CTGTATGGGGGACTGTCCCCTGGCTTGGCTGCAGGTCCCAGGCAGATGTCTGTCTTCTGGACAGCCGGACCCTATTTGCAGCCATGCCCTGAAGATGGCAGCATTGGCTGGGCTGGGGATTGTGGCACCCCGGGCAACATGGAGCCCTGTGCCCTGGGGCCAGGGCAGGGGGTGGTAAGGGCTGCTATGCTAACACAGCACAGGGGACCCCTTGGCACCCCCTCACCCCATTGCTGTGTCCTCATCATGACTCCCCGGCCATCCCTACTGCTCACTGCTGCCTGTCCCCTCCAGGGAGATCATCAACGGGGTGACAGTGACAGATGGGGACAACAATGAGCTTGGCCACTCCAGGGTGAGTCTCAGGATGGGGGTCTGGGTCGGGGCAGGGTGTGGTGGGAGCTCACCCACTTCTCTTGCTTGCAGAGGGCAGCGGCGAAGGGCATCGCACAGGTTGTGGTCTCCAGAATCACCATGGCAGCACCAGGCATGAGTGAGTGCGGGGTGGGAGGGCAGCAGGTTGGACCGGGGGCTCCCCTGGGACCTGCTGCCTTGCCCTCCTCTGCCTCAGTTTCCCCCTGGGAAGAAGAGGGAGGGTGGCCCCACATCCTGGGTGGCATTTGGAACTCATCAGCTGGTTCTCCCCATCCTGCTGATCCCATCAGAGCCTCCTGAACCCCCAGCCCTCGCCATCCCGACCCACAGCCTATGGGGGGGGATATGGGGTGCTCCCATGGTAGTCAGGCCCCACAAGAACACCTCTTGCACTCTCTGGCCCTGGCTCATTGCCCAACAGCCCCACATCCCGTTGTCCACATGGGACCTTTGCTGTGCCACAAGCCCAGCAGAAGGGACAGGAGCACGAGGAGCACAGAGCATGCTGCCTGGATGATGGAGGGATGGGGGTCTCCTGTGAGATCTGTGCCATAAACAAACACCCGGCAGCCCCCAGCACAACCAGCTGCTGCCATGGCCTCCGGGAGGAGGGTCCTGCTGGGGCAGCCCTGCACGCTGGCTTGTGAGGGGGGCCCTGACCTCTTCTCTCTGCAACTAGTTATTTTGCCCATCATCATGGAGCGACTGGAGAAATTCCCCTTCATGCAGGTGAGCCCATGTTTCTTCTGACACAGTTTTCCAATGGGTCCTGTGCTGCCCCAGTTCTGCTCCCCAGCCGCTGAGATGCTGGGGATGCAAAGAGGGTTGCTTTGCCCTCTGAGTCACCAGTACACCAAAGGTCTCTCAGGTGCCATGGAGAGGCTGCAGGAGGGTGGCAGGGGTCAGTGGCACCCTGGAGATGTTGGACATTCAGCCCTGTTGAGGGGAGAAGTCTCCCCATCCTGTGAACAGGGCTTGTAGCAAGGCTGGGGACTTACTCCTGGTTCTTCCCTTGCAGAGGATCCGGGTTCTCCATGGGCCTCTGCAGGTGCTGCTGTGTGGGGGCTTGTAAGTATCTCGCTGCTCAAAAGCACGTGGGTGCCCGGAGTGTGGCTCTGAGGCGTGCTTGAAATCACACCAGAAAAAAGACCTCTTTCCCAGCTGGGGATTGCAAAGCTGCTTGCCTTTCAGCCTGGGCTTTCCCCAGTTACTGGGAGTTGTGGGGCACGAGCAGCACCTCTTGGGCTGAGATCCTGGCGGCTGAGGGGCAAACAGGCTGTGATCCCCAGCATTAATGCCCTGTTCTTCTCTGTCCCACAGCCTCCTGTTCATGGTGCCAGCAGCCTGTGCCCTGTTCCCGCAGAGATGGTATCTGTCCAACTATTTCCCCCTCCTATGCGGGGCCTCCTCCTCCCCTAGGTCTTCTCTGCCCAACCTAGAAGCATGATGGGCACCCACCCTTCAACCTGAGGCAGTGCCTGCCTGTACATGCTGATGCCTCAGGCAGCAGGAGAGCACGTGCCTCCCCTGCTCTGCGAGCGCTGTGCTGGGAGAAATGGGACCCCCAGCCCCATGGGCAGCTCTCTGCTTCCCAGCACTGGGAGCAGGACGTGCCAGGGATGGGTGGTGGGTCTTGACGTGAGCCTGCAAGATCCCAGGGACTGCAGGGGACCTGTGCCTGCCTGTACATGCTGATGCCTCAGGCAGCAGGAGAGCACGTGCCTCCCCTGCTCTGCGAGCGCTGTGCTGGGAGAAATGGGACCCCCAGCCCCATGGGCAGCTCTCTGCTTCCCAGCACTGGGAGCAGGACGTGCCAGGGATGGGTGGTGGGTCTTGACGGGAGCCTGCAAGATCCCAGGGACTGCAGGGGACCTGAAACAGCAATTGGGAGGGATGGTGGCCTCACCTGTGGTCAGGGAGGAGGAGCGCAGGTCTCAGTGTCTATCCCCTCTCCCCACAGCTCCCTTGCGCTGGCTGACCTCGAGCCAGAGTTGCGTGACAGCATCGTGGCCAAGCATGGGGACAAAGTGCCGTACGTCTATTTTAACAAGGGACTGTGAACAGAAACCACTTCAGGAGCCGTGTCACCCACTCTGCCACCAGCAGCTCCATGTCATAGAATTATAGAATCATAGAATCATAGAATGGTTTGCGTTGGAAGGGACGTTAAAGATCATCCAGTTCCAACCCCCCTTCCAACACCTTCCACTAGACCAGGTTGCTCAAGGCCTCATCCAACCTGGCTTTGAACACTTCCAGGGAGGGGGCATCCACAGCTTCTCTGGGCAACCTGTTCCAGTGTCTGACCACCCTCACAGTGAAGAACTTCTTCCTAATATCTAATCTAAACCTGCCCTCTTTCACCTTAAACCCATTTCCCCTTGTTCTGTCATTAACTGCCCTTATGAAAAGTCCCTCCCCAGCTTTCTTGTAGCCCCTTCAGGTATTGGGAGGCCGCTATAAGATCTCCCTGGAGCCTTCTCTTCTCCAGGCTGAACAGCCCCAACTCTTTCAGCCTGTCCTCATAGGAGAGGTGCTCCAGCCCTCGGATCATCCTGGTGGCCTCCTCTGGACTCATTCTAGCTGCTCCATGTCTCTGTTGTGTTGGGGGCTCCAGAACTGGACGCAGTATTCAGGGCTTAAAGGCACGGTCCAGCCAGATCTGCTGCCCAGCCCAGCACCGTCTTGCTGCCTCCTTTGCCCAGAGAGGCAGGATCAGGCTCTGCGTGCCCAGCTTGCAGCACCTCGGCTTGTCCTGAGCCTCCTCCTGTCTGCTGCCGGCTGCGTCCCTGCCTCCCCACGTCCCTCTTGCCCTGGACGATGGCTGCATTTCCCATGCCTTCCTCCTGCCCTTTGCAGGAGGATCTGCCCAGGCTGTCTGAGCTTCATGTGGTCTCT